TTAAAAAAAAAAAAAAAATGGAGCCCAGCTATAAACTAGAGAGTAAGTTTTTTCTTTTAAGTAGGCTCCACACGGAATGTGGTGTTACTACAAATTCACCACTGCTCTCACCTGCTTTCTGCAGGTCCACAGGAAATCTAGTGTCAGGAACTCATTCAGTGGGACAGAGAAAGGGGAAATGAGAGGCCAGGCCTGGAAAGGACTCTGTCTGAGGCTCTGTGGCTCCCCTGGCTGCCCTGGCACTGAGATGGAAGACAGCCAAACCTAGTTAGGTCACTGCTTTCATCATGGGAAGCTTGAGGAGTAGGGGAAGGAACTCTCCAGAACCATTCTTCTATCTGAGGGATGTGCAGGGTTTCTCTCCTGTTGGAATTTTTAACTCATCCTCAGGTTTGCTTTAAAATGATATAGGACAATGACAGAATAAAAATATGGGCACTCAGCCTGAGAAATGAGGTCAAGCTTGAAAGGAAGCAAGCAGGCAAGTGAGTGCTTGAATTTAAAAACTGGATGCCAGCCTTAGTATTCCACTTTTAGGAATGTGATGCTGCCATCAGAGGTGTATCTATTGGCCAGCAATCATTCTCAAGACGACCCTGTCAGCGAGTATCAAAAACCTGGCTTCCCCAATGCTCTCCTTTCTTGGTTTACCATCAAGAGCCTATTAGGAATTCTAAGCATCGAGTGATGTGTGCAAGACTGTTAAACATGTCTAGAGAAAGAACATTCAAATATCAGGAGAGGTGTTTTCTATGGAGTGGTACAGACAGATTCAAAGTGGAATGGACTTCAGAGATCATTTTGTTCAGTCATTTTTCACATTTCATTTTTGGAGGAACATTCCCATATATAATCTTACATAGAACCACAATCTATATATACAGCACATATAGCAAAATCCCTGTGGCAGAGAGGATCCCAGGGTTCCCTTAGGGCCCCATGTACAGCTGGGCAAAATATAAGCTACAAACTGTAGTAGGGCCCTGTGCACCTCAGGTGATCACAGATTATAGGGCTGGGCCCCATCCACTCAACATTCTGAAGTCAGGGCTTCCCAATCTCTTCCTGGTCATAATGCATAGAAAACAATGGCAAACAGCAACTGGCCTTGAGGGCCACAGCCACTGCAGGTCCTGCAGGCTAATGGGTCTGTGCCCCTGACATAACTGCTGGGAGGCTCTGCCCTAAGGCACTGCCACGGAGCCCTGAAAACTACTATGCTCCCGACTCATCCAATTCTTGTGTTTTTGCAGGGCTCAGAGGTGGTGAATGACCCACCCAAGGACATAAAACCTAAAAGTGAATTGCACTAAGTCTCCTGACACCTTCCCCAGAGTTCATTCTGTTGCATCCACATGAAAAGACTTCAGTACTTTTCCATTCCTGCTAGATAAAACCAGGTCAGTTATTGGTACATAATTCCAAAAAGGAATGACCAAAAAACAACAATTTTCCCTAGGTGAAGGTCAAGAAGACAAAATAGGGAGAAACACACACCATTCTAGAGCTAGGCCAGTGACATACACAGCTCAAGGTATAGGAAATGGTCACATCAACCATCTAGATACTAGCAATGGGTTTTTAAAAATCAAGCTTTATTCCTTGTTTTTTGGCACCAGAGTCAACGATTCATAGAAGGTATCACTTCAAGCTGCTCAAGAGTAGCAGGGGATACCCCGCCCCCCAAAACACATCCCCGCAGACGACACACAGTACAGAGGAGATCCACGGCTGCCTGTAGTACAAAAGACGAGGAGTCTTCCCTAAAACAAACCTCAATTCTTACCTGAACAGCCAAGCTCTGAATTTCTGTAGTAGCTTTAGTCAGGCGAATCTATCATCACTCTTTACTCAGGACATGTCAACAATTCTAAAGCAGTTCCCAATTCTTCCCAAACACCTTTATTTTATTTAACCCCTGAGTCATTGCTTGTAGATGCTTGGCTCATGCATAATGTTGCAAGGCCATCTCAGCCCGTCTTCAACCAAATTCAAAAACAAGCTCCCCCCTCCCCCACCATCCCTGGTTCATGCATCCCTAGTCTTCCAGGGGCCAAATTCCAAATTAAAAGGACCAACAGTGCACCCTGTTCAACATAACATGTATTAACAGTCCTAGTCCCAGATGCTAAACTATCTCTGATACAATTTGGGACTTAATCTATGTCTATATCAGGCATTTCCTCTGAATTTATAATGACTTCACAAGCCGAGAAAGGCAAAACAACGATAACCCAGACTTGCATGTAAGGATTTGGGCCTGTACCCTGAACGAGGACAGCATGACTTGGTGGGGGTCGGAGGGCAGTGGGAGAGGATGGAGTTGGGCAAGTGGTGGGCTCATTTCAGCTCAGAGTTAAATGGTTAAGGTACTACGTACTTTCTGAAAGACACCAGACACAAGGGAAATGAATGATGAGACCAAGTACTAAACCACTCTTCTCACCATACTTCAGAAATGAGAAAAGCCAATGCCATTTACGCTGCCATGTGGACCCCTTAAGGAGCCTCCAGCCTTTGAAGAGACCCGCTAGGTTCTGGGACCCCTGAAAAGTCTCCTCTCCTAGTCGCAAGGTACAAATATATTGGTGGATTTCTAAATCTGACATGACTTCTCCCAAATACAGCTGTTTTCAGTTGCTTTATTATTGTCCCTTTGCAACAAAACGGTGACAGTGGGTGACGGAGGGCCATCAGGAACGCCAGAAGGAGGAAGTCAGAAAGCCCTTGGGGACAGGAATCTCCTTGCGCTGCAAACATTTCTGGTCAGAGAAAGATGGAGAAAACAGAATGATTTTCTGGTAACGCTCCTTCTGACATCTAACATTTGGAAGAAGCTTTGAGGGACAGCAAGCTCAAGTCCTCCGAACAGCGGTCAACAGCGGGCAGAGTGAGACCAATGGCAGCAAGGAGACTTCTCCTTCTGTGTGAACTGCAGCAGAGGACCAAGGCCAGGCTGCTGGTTATGCTGCCCCCACCCTGCCTCCCACAGCCCCGCCTCATCCTTCTCAACCGCCTTCTGCCCACTCGGGCTACTGGAAAGTGGAAGTCAGGGGTCTTGTCCTGGCAGACCTACCACAGACTTCTAGGCTGTTGGTCAGACTAGCCTCTGGTTTCCAGCACTGAGAAACGGGAGGAGTCTGGCTGAAAGTGTAGTTGGTTCTCATGGAGAAGATGGACCAAATTTCCCAGTTCCCCTGACCTGAGACTGAGGAAAGAACCTCAGCCAGCAAGCAAGAAATTTATTAGTGACACCAGACTCATTAAGTATATTTTATTCATCCCTAAGACAGTTTCCCCTCAGGCAGCATGGACGATGGCGCATAAGAAGAAGGAATGCCATCCCTTAAGGTGAAGGGGGAATCAAGGACAAAAAAATAAGGTTCAAAAAAAATCAAGAGGGGTGGCGACTAGCTGGTTCAGTCGCAAGAGCAGGTGACTCTTGATCTTGGGGTTGTTTGAGCCCCATGTGGGGTGTAGAAATGACTTAAATAAAATAAAATAAAAAAATCAAGAGGAAGACTGCAATCCGAGAGCCTAGAGGTCCATGACTTGCGAGACACAGGTGCCCTCAAGGTCAACAACAGCTCAGAACATGTTGGTCTAAGGACATCTTACCTCTAAGAACTGCTTGAGGCGTATGAAGGAACCCATCTGTCCTGAGCTTGTGATGGCTTCAATCCTGCAGAAAGAAGAAGACACACAGATCACAGCTATGATTCCCACCTTCCTCTTGGAGAGGAGTTTGGGACATTGCAGATCTAGAGGAAGGGGTAGATCGAATGACTCAGATGTCTTCTGGACTAAGGATGCTGTCATTCTTCCAAACGGTCTCAGGCTTCTTTTCAAACCAGGGGATAAAGGAGAAGAGAGGACATTCCTTTCCAAGGTCTTTGCGAGCAGGCGGGATGGGTGCTGCCAAGGCCTCTCGCTCAGCTGAAATGCCAGGGTGTTGAGGAATGAGAAGGGCACCTAAAGGCGAACGCCATGAGTCAAGCAAACAGTTGGAGAAACTGACTTATTAAGGGAGTTTGATTCTCTGGGTTAATTCATGCCTGCGTGTAATCACCATCCCAGATTACCTGGGGGAGTTTGGAAAACAGAGTTAAAGAAATGTCAGATATCTGAATCCAGGATCTTCTTAATTCATTTTTTCATTTAGCCAACAATATTTAAGAGACTCTCATTACAGTTCAAAAGCATTTATTCGAATATCAGAGAGGAGAAGGATAAGAGAAGATGTCACACTTAATACAGGTGCTTTTAACCAAGTCAAACCCAGCATGTCACAGCACGCAAGGGCCTCTGATGCCATGTGTTTCACCCACTGAGTCCCGTGTAGTCTACTCAATGCGCCACATACCTGGGGAAGTAGTCTTCTTTGATGAGAAGGATCATCTTCCAGAACTGTACCTGGTACTGCTTCATGAGGGCATTTCCACACACCTAGGGAAAGACAGGCACCGTCAGAGCAGAGAATGCAAAGTCACGCTCATACAAGAGATCCGTAAAGAACACCAGCCCTCTGCCTTTCACTCCTACCAAGAATTTCAGCCACAGTGCCACTTAGCTAGCTCTGCAAGGGAATAAATGGAAAAATCCAACCTTCTTTGGAAGCACTTCTCTATATATGATAATACCTCCATTAAACCAGACCGCCAAGAGGCCAGGTATTTTAGCAAACTAGAAAATGTGAATCAAACTTATTTATTCTTTGATTCTACTGAATGGAAACCTTTTTGAAGGCATGGCATTCTTCCTAACTGTAATAAGCAGAGCATACAGAACATCACCGTGTTCTCAAATTTAGTCATGATCTCTGCTCATGTTGTGTGACTTCAGGAACTCTAAGGTGAATGGAAGCATTTGGCATTCTAGGCTCAACAGCCCAGATCTGTTATGGTGTGTGCCCCCAAGCCTTTAACCTTTAAGAAATGTCTCCTTTCCACAGAAACCCTTACCCTCATCCTATAGTGGTGGCCCCTCATAGGCAGACAGGACTGTAAAGAACTTTCCGGACAATGGAGATACCTGACCCAAGCTAGCTGATCATATTCGTTCTCCCTAGGAATGAGGGATCACAAAGATGGGATAGCAGTTCCACTACCCTGGGGGACCACACTGAGGCGAAGGGCTAGAGCCCAGGATGGCCCATCTTCTCCCCTGGGCACAGAGAACTAGAGAAAGCTGGCTTATAAGGAAGCAGCCTGCAAGAAGAGCACAGGAAGGACCACGTGGCCGCAGAAAGACTCCTCGTATCTGGTAACATTCTAGTTCTTGGTTCAAGGCCCACATGAGAGTCAACTGTACATTCTACCCTTGGTTCTGGGAGTCAATGCTCTATCCCTAAAACAAATGTCCCTTTCTGCTTGTGCTGGGATGTACAGTTTTTTTCTTCTTTACAATAAGACGACAAGCACACAGAGAAAGAAAGCACAGTGGGAAGAAAAGCCAAAAGCTAGGTTTGTCTTTAGCACTCGGGAAAAATGTTTGACACCGGATCTTAATGCTGTTCTCACCATCAGCCTCTGTTTCTATATTGCTTCCTGATCCAGGTCACGCAGTGGCCGAAGGCTGCTTCAACCACTGTCTCTCTCTCATGTGGTAACTGCATTACGTACCTCCAAGAAGTCAAAGAGGAGGGTGGCTGTCACATCTGACAGGGGCTCCATATTTAAGATTTGTGCCAACCAGCGCCAGCCGTGATTTAAGCCATGAGGATGAATCTGGGAGGGAAGACACTTGGTCACAATTTGATCTCACTGTATCCAGAGATCTAAACTCCCAAGGTTATCCTCTAGCCATTACTAAGTGACATGAACCCCCCGGATCATCAAAATCAAGCACATGCCGCAGGGCAGAACAACACAAGATGAACAAATTGTTTTCAAATGTCCCAACACACTGGAACCCACACATTTTTTTACACATGTGGCAGCTTTGGTTTCAGGGATTTCAACAGTTACCAGTATAGACATTTTATTTATTATTTTTGGTACCTTTAGCACAGAACCTGGGACACAGCAGGTACACGATAAAAATTTGGATTCGATCCATTATGATCCCTTCTCGTTAGGTTCCCGAGTACATTAACTTCTCCATATCTCTAATCTGTGTTCTTTGAGAAAAGCACTGGGTTAGCAGGTCAAAGCCCTGCACCCCAGCTGTGGCTTTGTCACTGACAGTGTGTGTCACCATAGTTTGCTGAGACTCCATCTGCTCATTTGTGACATGAGGCACCAACCAGGTCTAAAATGACAGAATCGGGGCGCCTGGCTGGCTCAGTAGAGTCAATCTTGATCTCGGGGTCGTGAGTTCAAACCCCATGCTGGGTATGGAGCTTACTTCAAGAAAAAAATTAAAAAGTTAAAAAAAAAAATGTGAATTGCTACAAGCTTTGGGTAAGAATCAAGAACCTTAAAATTCTTTGACCAAGTAATTGTTTCTAGGAAATTTTCTCAAAGAAATACAAGAAAGGCATATATAAAATGGTATCACTACAGTGTTATGCATGGTAATAAAAATACAGAAACTTAAATGTTCAACAGTAGGCATGTTTTTTCAAACAATTTTGGTTAAGATTATATGTGCAAAGTATCCAATTCTCACAAGTTCATCAAATACTTACTGAATATCTGCTATGTGTCACGGTAATACTTGCAGTTTTTAACACTGCTTTAATCAAAAAATCAAAATATTGTTAATGGTTATAGTAATTATGCTTTCAAAATACGTTAACTGAAAAAAGCAATGCACATTCCCGTAAGGTTTTAACTTTTACCATAGCATTGCAGGTGCTCAATAAAATACTACTGAATGAACGCAACTATTTTGCAATCAGAATAAACAATTATCTGTTTAACATAAGATAGGAAACTCGGTATGTATGAGTCCAATTTGGCGTGGGAGTAACTGCCCCCCGCAACTTGTCAGGGAAGAAAGATGAAATGCTAATCGGGATTATCTCTTCAAGGTCCCTCCGAAGACCCTCACCTCAGACGTGGCCCGAATGATCCCCGAGACAAGGCCGCACAGCTGGTTGCCTCGGGTCCGGAAGGCAGACAGGTCAAGCTTCAGCGCGTCTTTGTGCGGCTCGGAGGCATCCAGCTGTTGGTTGAGGTGCAGCACCTCCTCCTGCAGGGCATAGAGGCTCCGCAGGCGAACCTGGCCTTCTTCCCTCCGCAGCCGTTCCTGCTCCACCTGCTTCATGCGCTGCTGCTCGGCCTCCCGCAGCTTCAGGTTGAGAATCTACACGAAGGGCAGTCCTGTTACCTCTCTCGGAGGCGCCCCTGGGCCTTCTCTTTCCACGTCCCCCAAGCCTTATGTGGGCTCCATATGTTCACAGATGGGCCCACAGCCCAAGGTGAGTCCCATGGAGGTGCGATGTGGGCCAGGTCCTCCATGCCAGTTGGCCAAAACCCGACTTCCGGCAGGTTAGAGCCAGACACAGAAAAACCCACATGGATTCTCCCAGGCTCTGACCTTTGCTCTGTGACGATGCTCAGCTTTTAGCTTCTCTTGGTGCCCCAGGGCTTCTCTGGAGCTGCGCAAGAAATGGCAGGGAGGAGCAGTCAGGCATGCTTCCTAAAGATGTCTTACCTCACCTCTCCTAAAAGCCTCCCTTTTCTTTGTGATACACTTGTCATCTTTCTACATTATAAGCTTTTCTGGCTATTTTATTTTGACGTTTAAGGCCTCAGAAGAAGTCCAACTCTTTCCCTTTGGGTTTCATGTTGGGAAAGAGGTGCCGCTGAGCACACTGATGGTCCCACTCACCTCTTCTCCATCACTTCCCGTAAGTCCTGGAATTCTTTATGGTGTTTCAGCTCCTTCCGTTCATCAAAGCGCTTCAGTTGTTCAGATGCCATCTCGGAGAGGGCTCGCACCTTCCTCTCCTGCTCCTCTTGCCACTGCCTCAGGCCCTCCTGGAAAGGATCAGCACCTGCTCTTTGCAGCTCCATTAGCGCCTTGCTCACCTACCCATAGGGAATACCCTCCCGTCGGTCCTTAGCTCCAGAGATACTCAAGGGCACGGAGCCAACTGCTTACTTCTCAGAAACTACACTCGAGTTGCATCTCCCCTTTGGGTGGATGTTTAAACTCAGCTGTTTTGGAAAGCTCTTCCCATTCGCCCCATTCGGTTCATGTCACTCCAATATCAGCTGAGAATGAACAAGTATTTACCAATATAGTGTCAAACAGCCCTGCGCTTTTAAGCCTCCATCCTGTGCATTCTGATGAGGGTTTCAGAGTAACCAACAGAAATTCTCACTCGAATTCCATAAACATGGTATGCCCATTCCTATCTCACTCCTTTCCTTACCTTATCATCTCTGCCTCCATCTCCCTGCCCCCACTTCCACTTAGGAAAGTCCCCTTCCTATATTTCTAAGGGTATCAGGTATTCCATTTATTATTCATGGGAGTACTCTCATATGGTTTTTAAGGGTGATGTGACATTTTAACTATCAAAATGTAAAGTGTATATATCCTTTGACACTAGTTTAATTTTAGGAATTTATCCTGAGGAAATATTTGCAAGCGTGTGCAAAGATATACGTACAAGGATGTTTACAGCAGCCCTGCTGATGATGGCAATAAATTTAAAACAATTTAAATTAACTAGGGATCGACTAGACATATTACAGTGGGTCAGACTAGAGAATACCTTGCAGCCTTAAGAAGGATGAGCTGCTGTATATACTAGCACGAAGATATAGCAAAATACATTGTGAAGACACTATGTTCTATTTTAAAGCTTCCAGTGCAAGAAGGCAAAGTGACCACAAGCATATATAACCTCTCCTCTGAGCCTCTGTTTAAAGAGAGTTGGGAAAGAAAAAAAGACTCAACAATAGAGAGCACATGGAATCTTCAGGGAAAAACTTTCAACACGCTTCTGGAAGATAGAAAGTTTCTGGAGAGGAATGTGGACTGACAGAGCAGGGCTGAGAAAACGTGAGGATGCACGCACGCACACGTGCATGCGCACACAAGCAGATTACGCCTCTCAGGGAGGCAGCCAACCTAGCAGAACCTCAAAGAGGGTTCAGACTGAAAAATGCCAGGTCTGAAATCAGGTGAGGTTCATGTGGCTGAAAACAGAAACACCAGCGGAATGTTTGTGGACAAAATAGTCAACCCTTGCCCCCACCCCGAAATCATGAAATCAGAACAGCCAACAGCCAGGCACGTGTGCTGTCATGATTTTTTTAAAATATCTTTTCACGTGCTTCTTTGCCTGTATCTTTGGTAAAGAACCTCTACTTTGGCCCATTTTGTACTTGATTTGCTTTTACTGTTGAGGACTATGTAATGATTTAAAAAGAGCTCTGCACATTCTCTGACACCCTCCCATCTCCTCCACTTCAACCTGAGCAGAGCTTCAAGACTGCCTTGACCAAGAGAACGAGGGAAAGAGAAATAATGTTACACAACTTTCGAGAAAGGCCACACGGCTCCAGGATGTTTGTTCTTGGAACCTGAGCTCCCTGCCAGAAAGAAGCCCCACCATGTGGAGAGGACAGATGTTGCAGCCAACAGCTAACTTCAGCTGCTACCCAGGTGACGGAGGAAGCCTTTGAAAGACCTACGGCCCCAGCTGCCGCACCCGCACGGCCCCTAAGTGAGAACCATCTAGTGGAGTGGGTTGACCTCCAGAAACATGAAAGACAGTAGTGACATGCCAGGGGTGGTTGTAAGCCACAGTTTGGGGGCGATTTATTACACGATCACGCATACTCCCACCCCCCCAAAAAAAACAGAGAGTTCTTTCCTATAACAAAATAAACTGTCTGGAGATAACTGGGTTGGCTAGCATGGAGGCTGGTATTCCAGAACAATACCCTAGGAATGCTGACACTCAGGAAGTCCAAAAGCATTATAATCTTGTTCCTGACTATGCACCTGGAAGCCTTGGTCCAATCACTGGCAAAGAAAGGTCATTAGCTATTCGAGGAAACTGTGTACCCTAGGAGATCAAGGTGAACAAGTGGAAAATAACGAATCTAGAAGAAACAGGTATTTCAAGGAACACAAATCGGAAAAAAGGACTCTAGTATGATATGAGAATAAAATGCTCTGAAAAAAGGACAAGTGGAAAATAAGAGAAAGCTCATGAAAATTAAACCCATCATTTAAAAAATACATAAATACACATTTTTTCAAACAACAATGGAGGAATAAAATAAAGAAATCTTCTCGAAAACAGAGAAAGACAAAAGGAAAATGAGAGAAAGAATAGGAGAAACAGGGAATTAATCTAGGAGAGCCCATCTCTGACTAATAAAAGTTCCCAGAAAGAGAAGAAACAAGGAAATGGAGAGGAAGAGAAACTAACCAAAGGGAAAAAACTTTCCCAGAGATGAAGGACCTAAGTCTTCAGCTGAAAGGGCCCCACCTCTCCAGGATCTGACCACTCCTCACCGTGCACACTGGTAGCACCCGAGTGGAAGCAACCATCGCCTTTCAGAGTACAACGGCTTCCACCTACATTGTACTTATTTCTCTTGTTCACTCCTACCTCTCCTCGCCAGTGCAGAAGCCCCATGAGGGCCTGGATTCTCGTCTGCTTTGCTATCTCTAGACCTAGAACAGCATCTAAGTGCTCAATAAGCATGTGGAGCTTGACAGCTATTGGCTGACTCAGTGAATGAATGAATGAGGGTAGATGCCGGAAGACTTTCACTTTATAAATTCACGTAACCTGTGGAAATGTTTACAAAGTCATGCATTGTTTTTCTAATTAAAAAATAATAAAGTCAGCTCTTTGGGCTCAGATCTAGTTGGTGGTGACATGGCGAAAGGCCCCCAGAGGGTTGGGATCCTCTGTAAATACGGGAGCTGTTATGGTGCCTCCCTCAGGAAAATGGCGGAGAAAACTGAAATAAACCAGCACGACAAGTACACGTGCTCCTTCTGTAGTAAAACCAGGATGAAAAGACGAGCTGTGGGGAGCCGGCACTGTGGTTCCTGCATGAAAACAGCAGCTGGTGGGGCCCAGACCTACAGCATTTGAAACACTGCTAGCCTATAATAAATGGCTCACTTTATGTACTGAAATTACATGCGTTTGTTGTTAAATTTATGAATTAGGTGTTCCAATTTCTGTTGCCTTAACTTTGCTTTCTCAAAAGGCTTGGGAATTAAAATCCTAACTTTTATTGGAAAAGCATGAAAAAATAATAAAGTCCAAATAAACTATTAAAATAGTGTTATTCTCGGGGCGCCTGGGTGGCTCAGTCATTAAGCGTCTGCCTTCGGCTGGGGTCGTGATCCCAGGGTCCTGGGATCGAGTCCCACATCGGGCTCCCTGCTCAGCGGGGAGCCTGCT